TATTAAAGAATATGTTTTTAATACGGGGTCTTTATGGGCGTGTGGGCCATATTTTTGTATAGTTTTTACTGGCTATCATTCAGCAAGTACAACATTGTTTAACAAGCATTTTTATAGTTTGGTTCAGTTTATCAAACTAGTTATAAATTTATCATATTTAGTCCGGCATCTGATATAAAATCTTACCCAAGCAAGTGCGGAAAATCGCTGTAAAACTATGATGATAAATGCCTTTTACATCCACACCAATATTAGGAAGGCGAATATGCAGGTCTTCATAATTAGAATATATAATAATTTTAGACGTTTAATTTAAGTGTTCCTAACCCTTATAAGTCAACAGTCTAGGGAACCAGCCTACCACACCCACTTGAGTTGTTGGTAAGTTGACGTCATGACGGTACGCTCAGTATATGAGTCAGGAAGTTGTTGTGGATATATGAAGAAATAATGAGGATTCTAAATGATATAATGACAAATGGTGAAATTGAGAAACGGAAATAATGAAATAAATAAACCTTAGAAGCAATGGGAAAAAGGCAGGGAAGGACATTCAATAATACGCGGCCATTCTTACATAAACTAATGTCACCAACTTATGGGGAGTAATTGGGTTTCCCTACTGTTCACTGTCAGATTTAGGTCACTTCAGTACGCAATAAATGATTACATGTTTTATGTTTATAGTGAAGGCGGTAGTGTGGTAGAGGCGGCAGTGTGGTAGGGGTGACAGTGTGGTGGGTCGGTAGTGTGGTGGGTTGGTAGTGTGGTGGAGTCAGTGAATTAATGGTTAGAAGTGTGAATAATGGTAGGGGTGGTAGTGTGGTGGGGTGGCAGTGTGGTGGCAGTGTGGTAGGGGTGGCAGTGTGGTAGGGGTGGCAGTGTGGTAAGGGTGGTAGTGTGGTAAGGGTGGTAGTGTGGGAAGGGTGGTAGTGTGGTAAGGGTGGTAGTGTGGTAAGGGTGGCAGTGTGGTAAGGGTGGTAGTGTAGTAGGGGGTGGCAGGGTGGCAAGGGGCGGTATTGACCATTATTGGCTGTTGTGCGATGGTCTTTTGTGAGCAACTCCCGTACTTCCTCATCCACTACCCCTCCACCTCATCCACACCACCACATCCACTTCTCCATCCACACATCCAGCACAGAAGCCACTAGTACTCAAACCTATCACCCACCGCATCATCCTCACTTCATCCACACACATATCAAAACTGATTTCCTCTTAAGTATATTGTATATCCGAAGATCCACATCCTAACCTTATCCTCACAGAATCAACCTCCACATCCACAATACTCACATCCATTCATCCACAATCAAATTCTACTTTTGATCGAAAGTCACCTCATTCACATCCATGCTGCAATCCACTCAAGTTATAAATAGCTGGTATCTGCATCCACATTCATCCACCCTCCCTCTTCACATCAACACTTTGCTTATTACTTTGGCCTGTGTGTGTGTGTTAAGAACATAAGAAACATAAGAAAATAAGGAGTCTGTAATAGGCCGGTTGGCCTGTGCATGGCAACTCCTGTCGAGAGTTACTACCACTCTCTATCATCCATGAATCTATCTAGCCTCCTTTTAAAACTTTCCAGCGTTCCAGCACCCACCACAAAGCTGCGAAGCTTGTTCCACTCGTCCACCACCCTATTTGTGAACCAGTTCCTTCCTATCTCCCTCCTAAACCTAAACTTATCCAACTTAAATCCGTTGCTACGAAACCTGTCCTGCTCGGATATTATAAGAACTTTATCTATATCCCCTTTATTGATTCCTTTCACCCACTTAAATTCTTCTATCGTATCTCCCCGCACTCTTCGTCTTTCTAGGGAATGCAAGTTTAGTTTCTTTAACCTATCTTGATATGGTAAGTTTCTAAGTCCCGGAATCATTTTCGTCATTCTTCGCTGCACCGACTCCAGTGAATTGATATCCATTCTATAATAAGGGCACCAGAACTGAACCGCATAATCGAGGTGCGGCCTGACTAGCGCAAGATATAGTTGCAATAAGACCTCTGCACTCTTATTACTTTCACGTCTAGATATAAAACCCAATACTCTGTTTGCCTTATTTCGAACATTAACGCACTGTTTTATAGGCCGTAGGTCCGGGCTTACAAGTACCCCTAGGTCTCTTTCACAAGTCGACTTCTCTAGGTTGATGTTGTTAAGGCTGTATACATTATAAGTATTTGTTCTTCCACTATTAAGTACGCTGCACTTGCTGGTGTTGAATTTCATTTCCCATTTTTCTGACCACCCCCGCAGTTTATTTAAATCCTCCTGTAGTGCATTTGCATCCTGCCCTGGACAAATGTAGCTTTTGTCTGCCAAGTTTATTTAAATGGTTAATGGACGTCTCTTGTATTTCCCGGGGCTCTCTCTCTGTCTCTCAATCCTTTTTCCTACCCACAGGTGTGTGTGTGTGTGTGTGTGTGTGTGTGTGTGTGTGTGTGTGTGTGTGTGTGTGTGTGTGTGTGTGTGTGTGTAATTGGCTTACATATTTCCCCAATCCACCTGAATTTCCATATACTTTTTAAATAAGTGGATAATATTACTCATAAGCAGGGATGGGGAGTAACTTTTTTATAATTTTCGCCATTTATCAGCTTACTAGCTGTTTGGACGGTCTATCCAGTGTTAGTACTGGAGGAAACCAGGACCAGGAATCCTTAACATATTGGTGAGTTACGTGCGTTACCGCCGTACCACCAACTTTGGAGTTTCTCAAGTACACAATAGCAACTTTTACTCAAGTATTCATCATTGAAGAGGTACTGTTACTTGAGTAATTATTTTAAACATTAGCAGTACTTTTACTCGTGTAAATACTTTGTCCATCTCTGCTCGTAAGTGTAAATATCATAACCTTATCAGAACGATAGGATTTTATGTTTTCGAAACACAATACTCTGGGATTCAAGTTTGGTTTATTTCGCTAGTGGGAGTCAGTTGCCCTTAAGTCGTGCGGTATTGTTGGTTCTCAGGGGAAGGGGAACTCAAGCCTCGGCAGCCTAATATAGTGCCCTCAGGTGTATGTACAAAGCTTCCGTCAAGGCTCTGTGTCTTGTTCATAAATGAATAAGTGGTAAAGTAGTCTACCTCACTCTCTTCTCCGACCCTCCGTTTCTACTATTACCAGTACTACCATTTTTAATTGCCTCCAACCTCCCCTTAGCTCCTACTGCCACTATTAGTACTACTACAACGACAACTACTACTCCTACTATTATCTTTCCTCCTCCTCTTACTACAACTAATAAAAATATTATTATTATTATTGTGGCTACAGAAGCACTTTACACAATGAACTTTTTGAGACATGGTTATGGTCCGTCGTTGAAACATGAGTCACAAAAATTTTTAAAACGTGAGTGAGTCTGACTGAGTTTTCACGAATCACTATGACATATTTGTTGATGATGTCAAAGTCATGACCGGTGCTCACCAACCTACGTTTCACTGCTTGGAAATTTTTTTAAACTTTCCTATATTTAATCGTGGAAGGACATCCGGTACGATATTACATAACATCTTGTAAGTAATATTTTTTTGTGTGTGTGTGCACTGAAGGACTCGTAGTTTGTAGGTGAAAGCTTATTATTTTCCCCAAACTGGCTTGTGAGACACTTCATGAACTATATATAGTAAAAGTGTTTTGAGTTTTGGGGATAAACCAGAACGAAAGATCAAATAGTAGTAGTAGTAGTAGTAGTTGGAGGAAGACGAGGAGGAAAAACGTTAATAAGAAATGTGGACACCGTGAGACAGACAGACAGACGGACATGGAGGCTCTTGGACGCTGCTAACATGCACGACTTTAGACAAATCACTCCCCCCCCCAGAAGCTTACGAGTCACACACCCGTATAAGAACTACACTCTTCTTAACAAGCTAATGATATATGCTCCAGTGAACGGGATAAATAACTTCGAGGATGCTCTGAAGTGAAGCCTAGTTTTAAATGCTCCAGCGTAAACTGTCATGATATTTATACGTCACGGTCCTTACGTCTGTTTGTGTCTGTCTGTCTGTCTGTGTTTGTTAGTTTGTCTGTGTTTATCTGTCTCAACATTTTAATTACTAATACGTGTCTCTCCAATCACCATGTTAACTGTAGGTCGGTCATTGTTAATCCCCTCTCTCCTCATCATCATCACCTCTTGTTCCTTTTCCCCGTCCCCTTCCTGCCTCTCTCTCCCCTTTCCCCTACCCTATACCCTTCCCTACACCTCTTCTACCCTTTCCTCCTTCCCCTACACCCTTTTCTCCCACCCCCTACATCCCTCCTACTCTTTCATCTACCCCCCTCCCTCTCTCTCTCTCTCTCTCTCTCTCTCTCTCTCTCTCTCTCTCTCTCTCTCTCTCTCTCTCTCTCTCTCTCTCCCCCCCCCTAGACAACGCGTTTTCTTCCATTTTTCATGAGATTATTTTTGTGTGTGTCTCCGCCCCCATTATCAGGCTCCGTTATCGGTTTTCACGGATTTTTGTGGACTAAGTCTTAACGGGGAACGGTGAGGAAGGGTCGTGCGAACCTGGTGTCTGAACAGAGGAACGGTGAGGAAGGGTCTTGCGAACCTGGTGTCGGAACAGAGGAACGGTGAGGAAGGGTGGTGCGAACCTGGTGTCGGAACAGAGGAACGGTGAGGAACGACAGGTATATCTAGTTAAAGTTACCCATTTGTCCAGTGTGTGTTGAAGTGGTCGGTCGATGATGTTAGATTCTCCACTTATCGGATTTTACTCAAATTATAATAATATCAGCCTCGTTAAGTTTGTTATTATTGAGGCATTTCAATATTTGTAATGCAACAGCGACCTCCTTACTACAGCGACCACCCTACTACAGCGACCACCCTACTACAGCGACCAAACTTCTACTGCGACCTCCTTACTACAGTGACCGCCCTACTTTTAAATATTGTAGTATTGATAATATTAATATGTATAATATTATGTATTTGTAATAATGGTGTGTGTTGTTGTTGTCTTGCAGGTAGCGGGCGTGAGAGAGGCGGGCGTGGACCGGAAGGATGGGGGCCGTGCTCAGTGTGATATGGGGGTGGTTTAATCCCTCCTCCAAGGTCAGTGTCATTTTCTGCTTCACCTCACACACACACACGGGGGGGCAGAAATTAGAGTGAGAGAGATGTATATGTATATCGAGTATTAATGGAAGTAGATATGCATAATGACCCACTACACCTCAGACACCTCTTCCCAGCAATTCTTTGTGTGTGATGTTCTCTTACTCGCTCGCCCACTCACTCACTCAACCTGGGTGTCTTTCTATTGGCCTTCTCTTGGCGTAAACAAACTCTTAACAGTACCTGAACAATGGGACAATCTTGTTCCATCATGGCTTGACTTTATCCCTCACCTATGTTTCCCTCCTACCATACCCACACACCTCCCCCTCTAACCTCCACCATACCCCCACCCCGCCCCCTCTAACCTCCACCATACCCCCCACCTCCCCTCTAACCTCCACCATACCCCTCACCCGCCCCTCTAACCTCCTCACCCTCTACCCTGCCCTCTAACCTCCACCATACCCTCACCCCCCTCTACCTCCAACCTCCTCTAACTACCCTCCCCACCCCGCCCTCTAACCTCCACCATACCCCCACCTCCCCTGCTCACCATACCCACCTGCCCTCTAACCTCCACCTACCCCCACCGCCCCCTCATACCCCCACCTGCCCCCTAACACCCCCCACCCTGCCCCCTCTAAGCTTCATTCCTGGAAAAGGTAAAAATTTCCGAGAGAAAATTTTTGCAGCGCGAATAAACCTGATGAATATTTTTTAAGGGGAAAGTGACAACAACATCCGCCACTATTCACCAGCACAGAGGTGGAAGATGCTAAGGAGCTCGTGTATAAAGCCTGGCTGGGTTGTCAATAGTAGTTTCTCGTGGTGTAAAAGATATTAAACGAGGATTTTTGTGTTTTGTTTACGCCTCTTAGGTACCAAACCCCCACTTTCTTCACCTTTTGATTAACTATCCTAATGCTAACGTAATTTATCCCTCCCCCCCTCCCTTAGCGTTAAGATATGTAAATCATCAGGTAAAATAAGCCGGAGTTTCTAATCTTCGTGTTGTAGCTCCATTGTTTATGTGAGTAATAAAAACGTAACTTACAACTTGATACAACATTACATTTTATTTATCTTAGTTGTTTGTGTGGTATTCATTTGTTTTTTTAATTGTTTATATATTTACGCATTACATAAAGACTATTTTTCCCAAGATGTCATCAGCATATTATGGCGTGGTGTCTGCTACAAACCTCAGGCTGTTGGGATACCTGAAGATTAACACCCTAACGCATCCTGTGGCGTTAGGTTAGGTTAGTTGACGCTAGATTGGGTTACGTGTTGTTAGTGTTAAGGATGTCTAATCATCAGGTGATCCTACAGTTATGTATTAAAAAAACAAACATCACCTCACCACGATATTAATTACTTTGGCAAAATGTCAGGTGAAATATTTTGAAATCGCGAAGCAAAATCCATTTCGTGAAGGATTGTGCGCTAGTCTCCATACTCAGCTGCAAGTCCTCAGGTGGGGACTGGGGGAGTTTGCCTTAGTCTGGGGACGAGGGGCTAGGCTGGCCGCGTTCAGTTGTGTGACTCGTAGTACTACTTCTTCAACTGAACGGCAGCCAAGTCGGCGATTCGAAGTTTCTATAACGCTATGAACTCTGCGACTTGCTGAGGTGGGTCGCTCCGTAGTACCGAGACGTTTATAAAAAAGAAAGATGGTGACTGGAGGAGCAGCAGTACATTGCGGTGTTCTGAGGTTTAGGATAGCTTGTGCACGGTAAGCCATTATTACCACAGGACACCGCTAACCCCGCCCCCGCCCCCCCCACTCCGTGATAAACATAGTCATGATAGCAACCACCCAATTTGGTTTATGTAGTTATGTAGGACGTAACTGAACGCAACCCAGGTCTACTTAAGCGTAGGTAAGTGGAGTTTTAGCTGACGTCAGGTGCGCCAGTCAGCCCATCAACCCGCTTGGATCTGTCTGGTATAAATAAATTACTCGCATAACATTTAATTGAAGGCCTTTACCTATTCCTCTGTGCATGGTGTCGGATATATAAGAACACCCAAGAAATAAGCTTTAATATTGACCCACCTGAGGTCATATAAGAACACCTAAGAAATAAGCTTTAATATTGGACTACCTGACGTCAGCTAAACTCGACCTACCTGCCTGCAAAAGCTAGGATGTGAGGGCAAGTTTTCATTTATTTTACATTTATTGTCAGCTTATCTTTAATAATTTAATACCTAAGCTAAAGTAACATAACCTAACCTAACATAACATTACTTAAGCTAACGTAACACGACCTAAGATAACAATATAACCTAAGCTAACGTAACATAACCTAAGTTGACATAATGTAACAAGCTAACGTTACATAATCTAAGCTGACATAATGTAACCTAAGCTAACGTTACATAACCTAAGCTGACATAATGTAACCTAAGCTAACGTTACATAACCTAAGCTAACGTAACATTAACCTAAGCTGATGTTCTTACAATCCCAGTCCAGAGGAAAAAATTTCTAACATTCCCATTTAAGGTGAAAAACGGAAACGTGTGGATGTTTTCAGGGTTGCAGTGGTGAATGTCCCGCCTGCTTTATTTGTAAGAGTTCCCTTATGCTCATGACTCGGGCAGCGTAACTATTAGGTCAATACCATGTACATGAGAATGTCTTTTCCTGACAGTGTCCTCAGAGTGAAAAATAAAAGCCGCGAAAAGTCTTTGTATAAACTAAGTGTGTCCAATGTCTGCAAAATTGCCTTGAAAAGTAAATGAACGCCCCTTCATATGTATTGTGTTAAGCATTAGCGATTATCGAAAAAAAATATCTTTAAGTCTATGGACAAGACGATGAATCTTCCCTGGCAGGAATATATAGTAAATTCAGTCGACATGATTAACTCGGAAATGGTCGTTCCTTTATTAGAAATCAATTAATATCTAACTCGAGTTCAGTAATAAAAAAAGACCATTCCCTCGACGCGAATATATAGATTATATTTCAAGGAGTCTTTTATCTCAACAAATCATGGTAGTGGTGGAACCGATACAGGGAGACGACCAGACAGTTGAGGTTGTAGGCTCAATGGCTTCAATGCTATTGGAGGTGACCGTCGTGCCACCTGACAACCTCCTCACCACACCAACCACCTCAACAGCTTCAATTGGTCTAAACTCACTGAAGCAACTACCACTTTGAATCGTGTTCTCTTCATGGACCCTTGTCAGCTGCTCCCCGCCACCTGCATTTTTCCGCCTGCCCGATCGCTTAAGCAGTGTGCCACTCATGAAAAAAAATCTTGGAAGATTAGTGTCTGAATATTTCAAGATTGATAAAAAAAATTCAAGGTATGACAAAATAAATAGTTACAAGTATATCAATTTTAATCCATACTATTCCATAAAATATACAGTACGATACGAATAGGCACACGTCTTGATATTCTCAGTATAAAAGAAAATGAAAACATTCAATGGTTGGAGGGAAGACTTAACTAAAGTTTAAGTAAAATCACCCCCAAAATTAATCTTATTATATATACAAGTATACCTATAGTACTGATGCATACTACTTCACAAAATTTACAAATATATGATATGAATAGGCAGACAATATTCTCAGTATAACAGAAAACGAAAAAAATTACTTGTTAGTTGGAGGTAAGACTAAATAAAAGTTTAAGTAAATCACTGAAGAAATTATTCCTATTATATATACATAATAATGCAAGTATACCTATAGTACAGATGCAGGAAAAGAATAATCACTACAAGAATGTCTGTATTTCAATATTTTCCTCTTCATTATCAGAATCTGCTGCTTGAATGGTTTCATTTTTTCTATATACTCAGTGTATCTCCGATGGCAACGTCCTTGTTTTAAATCTTCTAATGTATACTTTCATAGAACCCATGAATAACACTTACTCCCTTGGCGAGAAATAGCCTGCTTAGCTAATAGCCCGTTTGCTACTGTTCTACATTTAAGTCGATTTGTCTACTTTGGTTTCACCAAGTTGACCTATGAAAACACTCTACACAAGCTGATGAGTGTGGGAGGGCAAGGAGTCCACACAAAAGTTCCGACAATAAACCAAACTTGAACTTATCATTCCCATCTTTATCAGACTTTAGCTTGCACCAAAATGTAGGAATTTCGAGGGTGAGCCATGGGATCAATTACCTCTTTTGCAAAGTTACGTCGTAGAGAACCAACGCCAGCCTTAGCCACTGGGCTGGTGTCCGTGAGTCGTGAAATCGCGTCGTGTTCCTGTGCATTTTATGTCTAATTTGGTTACAGGGGCTGAATCATGGCCTCAGGGCGACCAAATTACTTACCTAATTAAATGTGAAACAAGATAACATTGTCATTTTTAAGTTACCGAGAATTCGTAAAATATCAAGACAGAAAATTAATGAGAAAAAGTGAAAAAATAGTGTATTTTCTTTCAAGAATTTGACAGTTTTTAAATTTTTCTTTCAAGCTTTCAAGGTTAGGGTCCATTTTTTAAGATCTTGAAAAAATTTTCAAGCTGGTGGCATCACTGCGCTTTAGTTTTTGACCGAGGCCAGAACATACTCGTATATTACTAACATATTCTTTTTTTATTAACTGTGTAATAGTTCATTATTAATCATTGTTTTCTAGTTTAAATCATTCACGTATGATAAAAATAGCAACGTTTTAATAATCACATAAATTCTACGTATAGCCTGACAAGTAATTTTATACAGAGATATTTATATGAGGTTGAGTCACGTCGGATACCGTCAGTCGCTGAGGCAAAATGTTTAGCGTAACTGTGCATAACAAGTGTAGGACAAAAGCCCCCTAGGACTAAAGTCCCCCAGGAGAAATAATAAGAATTTTTAAAATAATTACTTTATTTTTTTTACAGTTTATGAACACTTATCTAACCTAAACACCAATTCTAAGTACAGCTCTTTATTATTCACTCAATGACACAGACACATTAATAGCACATTTTATTTACGTTACTAGACACTGACTCTCGGACATAAACCTGAAATGGATACACTTCCCACCGTAAGTAACTCACCCTATGGATAGCTCTGACAATAACTCACATGTGACCTGAGGGAGGCCCAGCGGGTGCTGCGAGACGATGACACCTATGGGAGACTGCCAGCTGGAGACGCGGTGCTGGGAAGGGAAGTCTCCCTCCCGACCTCGACTAGTTACGAGCGTGACTCCGTCATCTGTCTTCAGCGGTGTGAAAGTAACTGCTGTGGAATGGGCTGGTGCTGGGGAGGAGCTGTCGCCTCCCCCCTGTTACAATGATGCTCCGAATGCTAACAATGTGAATGCCGCGGAGTTTTTTTTTATTTTTTTTTATTTTTTTTAGGCATATTACCTACGTGGACCTTAAGCTAAAATACTCTCTCTCTCTCTCTCTCTCTCTCTCTCTCTCTCTCTCTCTCTCTCTCTCTCACCATATCTAGGTAATGGTATAGGTCCCCATGAGAATTTTCCAGATGCAACCCTGGTTTTAGTTTAAGTCTACCAGTTAGATATATTGCGTCATCAGTTATGAGGGACAGTCAACTTGCGAACCCTTGAGACTGAGGATGGTCCCTCCCCCCCATCACACAGGTCCTCACTCTTGGCCATACTTAACGTGCCTAAATATCCGTCACAAAATTACACGATTTGAAAACCGTGAGTAAAAGCATTCCTAAAGAGTTATGTCGTGAATAACCTTATAAATCATTTTTTATTATATAAATAAGAGAATTCAGTTTACATGCTCGCCTTAATCCGTCTTTAGTGCTCTCTGGGACAAACGGAAGCACGGCAAGTTGACATTAACTCCCAAATGGAATCATAACTAAATTGAAATCAGTTATATTATCTGATGCAGTTTGGCATTAACCTGAAGTTAACTAAATCTGTTGAACGAGTGACAAAGGCCGTTTACCTCTAGGTACTCTGGAGTGAGTTGTATCTACGCTTTAGTTACATACACCCAGCGAGCCGACATACACGTGATGTGGAAATAAAAAGTATTGCTCAATGTAAAAATTATACTAAATTGTTTCCTGTTTGCTTGTTGAACAACTTCGTCAACAGGTGGTAGATGGTCGCAGTGATGATGACACGTTACAGGATGCATTTTATATCATACCAATATTTTCAAGCGTTAGACCACACTTTTTTTCTTTGTAAGATGACCTCGCAGGGAACAGTAATAAAATACAACGTGCTTAAAAAATATTAGACAAAATATGTACATTTTTATATTAGAAAATGCCATTATTATGGTCTGAGAGCTATAGGATTAATGTGAACAAAAGAGGAAAAACTCCAGCGATGGTGTGTGTGTGGGTGTGTGTGTGGGTGTGTGTGTGTGTGTGTGTGTGTGTGTTTTCAATCTGGAGACTGCCAAAAGTTGAGGCAGGAGCCAGAGGGAAAGATGAAATAAGGTTGTCTTTCATCAGAGAAGGGCGGCCCCACTCTACCAACTTTCTGGGAAGCTCTTCCATCAATGGGCCGAGCTCTCCTGCCTGCCTGCCTGGCTCAGTTAGGGGTGACCCAGTTTACGGCCGCTACTCACAGCACGTTTTAATCCCGCATTGGTAGTGGAAGTGGTGGTGATGGTGGTGGTTGTAGTGGTAGTGGTGATGGTGGTGGTGGTGAACATAAAACAATGTAGTGGTGATAGCATTTAATTGGTAATTGTGATAAATAGTGGTAATTGGTGATGAGTAGTTGTAATCAGTGGTGATAGTGGTTGTAGTGATAGTGGTGGCTGTGATAATCGGTTGTAGTGGTGGTGTTTGAGTGTTTGTGATGGTGGTTGTAGTGTTTGTGATGAGTGGTAGCACACCTGTGATGGTAGATTTGCTTTAGTGATGTGATGGCTGTGATGGTGAGGTTGTAGTGGTGGTGTTTGTGATCGTTGATTTGATGATGGTGGTGGCTGTGATGGTGGTTGTGGTGGTGTTTGGACATTTTGTGATGGTGGTTGTAGTACATTGGGTGTTTTGTGATGGTGGTGGCTGCGTGGTGGTTGTGGTGGATGTGGTTGTATTGATGTTTTGTGGGTAGTTGTAGTGGTGGTGTTTGTGATGGTGATTTGTGATGGTGGTTGTAGTGGTGGTTGTTGGTGGTTTGTTGATGGTGTTTGTGATGGTGGTGGTAAGTGATGGTGGTTGTAGTGGTGTGTTTGTGATGGTGGTTGTGGTTGTGGTGGTGTTGTTGTGATGGTGTAGTGGTGGTGGTATTTTGTTTGTGATGGTGGTGCATGAGTGTGGTGTTTTTGTGATGGTGGTTAGTGTTTTGTGATGTGGTGGTGGTGGTGATGGTGGGTTCTTAGTGGTATTTGGAAATAGTGGTTGCAGTGGTGGTGTTTGTGATAGTGGTGATGGTGGTTGTAGTGGTGGTGGTTGTGATGGTGGTTGTAGTGGTGGTGTTTGTGATGGTGGTTGTAGTGATGTTGTTTGTGATGGTGGTGGCTGTGATGGTGGTTGTAGTGATGGTGTTTGTGATGGTGGTGGCTGTGATGGTGGTTGTAGTGGTGGTGTTTGTGATGGTGGTTGTAGTTTATTTAGATCCTCCTGTAATGCATTTGCATCCTGCCCTGAATTAATTTGCCGCCCTATTTTGGTGTCATCCGCAAACTTGCTTATGTCACTGCTGATCCCAGTATCTAGATCGTTTATGTAGATTATGAACAAGAGTGGGCCTAGTACTGACCCCTGGGGAACCCCACTGGTTACACGGCCCCACTCAGATTTAACACCATCTACGCTGACCTTCTGTGTTCTATCGGTGAGCCATGATTTTATCCAATTTAAAACTTTCCCCTCGATACCATGAGCCTTAATTTTTCTGAGAAGCCTCTGATGCGGTACTCTGTCAAATGCTTTGCTAAAGTCTAAGTAAATAACATCGTTTATAGAAGAGTATAGACCTTGGTGGAGACAATTGCAACCATGCATAGATACAGTGAGTCGACCTCCAGCCCAGGAGAAGGCACTCACTGTAAGAATGACTACTCGTGTATATCTGACTTCAATGTGGTAAAAGTGTAAATAAGGCAGCTGCTGAGATTGCAATGACGCCAAATCCATTACCAAGGTCAGAAACACTACCGGAGACTATTTCCGGTTTAAAGGTCACGTACACAGACACTTTCCTCAAAAAGAGAGTTGAGTTTAACTTTCTTAAGACCCATCAACCTGTGGCACTGTTGCATAAGAACTGAAGGATCGACCCGGAGGATTACATGTTTAATACAAATGGCTACGACTCATTTAAGAACCTTTCTGAGGCAACCTGTAAGAAGGGTGTGGTTATTTAGAGCCAGCCAGGTGAGAGTACAAGGAAGTGTTTTGAAGAATGGATGTGGTATAAAATTAAACTGAAGGAAAGAGACGCATCCATTGTTGGGTGTATTTACAGGTCCACGTACTGTAGCTTCTACTCAACCATAAAGGATCTAATTAAAATAGCAAAAGTCGTCCTCTCATGTCAAATAAGCCCCCCCCCCCTTTTTTTTTATTTTATTTATTTATTTTTTGCTTAAAATTATTAGTTTACGTAAAGAAAACGCACGCACCAAGATTACAGGTTATATAATTCGAGAATCCTGGGATGACTTTTTTTTTATTTTTAGGGATTTGTAGGAATATTACCTCCGCGGAGGTATAGTATAGTGGTTGCTGGCCGGAGACAGTTTATCAGGTGTTGTGATGCTCACCGTTTTGGTATTAAAATTTATTAATTTAATTTTGTTTTTAGTTATCTAGTACATATATATATATATATATATATATATATATATATATATATATATATATATATATATATATATATATATATATATATATATATATATATATACTGTATATCATACCGCCATTTATCAATCTTTGTGCACCTTGAATGTCTTTGCACATGCTGAACCAATATGAATTTCTATGGGAATTTATTACACCTAAATATGGTGGTGTTGGCAGGTGATGGCACTGAAATTCGCGGAAGACGGAGATCTGGGACCTGAGGCTGACGTGCCCAACCCTACCACGGGCCTCACTCTACGACACCGCACTGCTATGGTCAGGACCTGGGACCTCGTTCGACCTGACTTGAAGACCCACGGTATTTACTTCTTCCTCAGGTCAGTCATTCCTCCCATGTTCGTCGTCCCTCCCTTCCTACAACCCCCCTTTTAGTCCCTGTTCCTTCAGTACTTCTTTAACAAATACTATATTTGTTAAAATTATGTTGAACCTTAGAAATTATACATGGCGGTGGTCTTCTGAACCGTTTGTATGGTTCCTACAAGGATGCAAACAGAATCCAGGGGAAGCTGGTTGTTTCTCCGTTGACATGTATCCCCGTCAAGTCGGTTCCCCGTCACCACCAACCAGGCTGGCCTGTTATACATCAATAGTGCCTATACAAATATGCAGATGTTAATCGCGTATCAATGTGTACACAGGCTATATGTGTACAGGAGACGGTAAGTCTCTCTCTCTCTCTCTCTCTGCAAGAGACGTTAAAAGCACATTATTATTAAGGTTGTATACAGTAGACATTATTTTGTTTTACAGACGTTAAAAGCGCGTCATTGCGTCTGTGTGTACAAGTGACGCTAATAGTGCCTGTGTGTACAGGGGACGCTAATAGTGCCTGTGTGTACAGGGGACGCTAATAGTGCCTGTGTGTACAGGGGACGCTAATAGTGCCTGTGTGTACAGGGGACGCTAATAGTGCCTGTGTGTACAGGGGACGCTAATAGTGCCTGTGTGTACAGGGGACGCTAATAGTGCCTGTGTGTGCAGGGGACAGGGGACGCTAATAGTGCCTGTGTGTACGCTAATAGTGCCTGTGTGTACGCTAATAGTGCCTGTGTGTACAAGTGACGCTAATAGTGCCTGTGTGTACAGGGGACGCTAATAGTGCCTGTGTGTACAGGGGACGCTAATAGTGCCTGTGTGTACAGGGGACGCTAATAGTGCCTGTGTGTACAGGGGACGCTAATAGTGCCTATACAGACAGTACAGGTGACGTTAATGGTGTATCTACTTATATTTTAATATCCCCCTTGTAACTTTTTTATCGCCTCCCTTTGTGACTTGACATGCCTGATTATAATATACCCAGAGTTCTGCTCTTTCACCTACTATTTTTTTAATTGTTATCAATGATTTACTTCACACTTCTACTAATTATATTCCTTTTTACGCTGATGATTCTACTCTTCACTCTTCTCAGTTTTCCCTCCCCCTAACTCTCAAACTAGATCTGTTTCATCTCCGAACTTTCAACATATACATCGATAATAAATAGAACTAATACAATCTTACTCTTAATCTTTTTTTTAAATACATTTACAATGCTTCTCTAACCCAGCGACAAGTACCTGCTGGACAACTTTAACGTAATTAAATAGATGTCTCGACTTTTATATCGAGGATGTATCTCAGATTCTGAAAAGATTTAACGCCCTTTAACCGTACTGCTCCATTATTTGAACTCACAGCATTGGATCCCAGAAGTATTATGGATAAAACTGTCCCCTCCATTAGCATCTCACTGTCCAGAGCGATATTAGTGTTTGGAAATTTTAGCCTTAAGTTAACAGTTTAAAGAAAGGTTATGATAGACCTTTGTTCATGTTCTTGGGAAATTTCATGAAAACAAAGGTGAAAAATAATTCTTTGAACATTGTCTCATTAATTGAAATGCTTCATGTCAAAAGAACCTTCACCAATTCATCAGACAAGTTTGAAGTTATAGGTAAAGCTTATGATAGAAAACCAGCATGGGTACATCACATACAAGTTTATGAATATTCCATTGCTATAAAAATTTTGATAATGTTGCTTAATGCATTTCATAAAAATTACCTACATATGCATAATTATATAACATACTGGAAAATTAAATGAGGGTAATTTTGAGGGAATCTATGGAACTTTTGGCAATTAGACTTGGCATTATTGAAAAGACATTTAAATCGTGATCAGCTGAATGGCCTTAAGTAATTAGTGAATATAATAATACAGTATATACAAATTCGATCCACTGATTCAGAGATAAAAGTGGTAAAAATATCGTTTAGGTCATGCAGCTAATTTTAGGACTTTAAGTTTTGGAATCAGTAGTTTAGACAATTCTAAGACAATTTTCTTCTATAGCCTTTTCATGGGAAATTTTTATTTTTCGAGTATTTTAATCAATAAAATTATCTACAATATTACAGGTACTTGTTTTAAGTGAGCAGGACTGTGAAGGAGATGGAAAATGTGGGGTAAAAAAAAAAAAAAAAAAAACCTAAGGAAAATCTGACCTAACTTTTCTTAACCTTTAAAAATCCTAAAATAAAAAAGGGAGCTACTATAGTATGCTGTCTACCGAACTGGAGTTTTATCTACCGAGATATTTACACTAGCATCCATTGGTTAGGTTAAGTTAGGATAGATTAGGTTAGGGTGAGTTAATATTTGCTAGTGTAAATATCCCAGTAGACTAACTGCAGCTCGGTAGACCACATACTATAGTAGCTCCAGTTCGGTAGACTGCATACTATAGTTGTGCCCCAAAAAGTTAACTTTCCTCATGTTTTTTGGTGTTTAGTAGATGATGGGGATATTATTTAGTAGATGCCAATGTCTAATTGACTTTTGAAAATGGGTTTTATAGAGCAAATCATCGTGTTAAATACAAATATGACCTTCATTGCTGTCGGAAATGAGCCGTTGTTGAGATATTGAAAAAAGTGGAAGGTCAAAAAATGGAAAAATCTGAAAAAATCTAACATAACATAACCCCTAGTGTGTGAGAAACTTACCTTAAGAGATACAGGAGGATAGAGTGATGAGACTTGGATGAATAAGTGGTGCAGTATGCTGTCCTCGTCTGTGTGATGTGCTTATAATTATACCGTCCATGGCGATCTACATGGTACTGACACTCAGAATTATTATTAATATTATTATTTTTTATCATATTCGCCACTTATCAGCTTAGTAGCCGTTTGGGCGGTCTATCCAGTGTTAGAACAGGAGGAAACCTGGTCAGAATTAGTGTAACTACCATCTTCAAGCCTCGGGTCTGAAACGCCTACTCGCGTTTTTAATTTTGACTTTGCATAGTGGCAAAACGCTTTTGGGTTGGACTTGACTTCACTCTCAACCAGCCTCTGGAACTCTTTTTCAGCCCTTCTACACTCTGACTTTGCTTAGTTCCTGGATCTGGCATACATTTTCCTATCCTGCTCATCGTTTGTCGTAATCCACACCTTGAATTTCTGGGTTTTCTTCTTGACTTTGTTGACTACCACATGGATCATGTGTAGCTGTTTCCTTGTATTTCTGGAGGCAATGGGTTTGGACTTGGGTATATATTTATCAATCGAATGGTTCACTTTACTGGCTATGATGTTTAGTGTAGTGTCTGTGTTCTTATACCTTAGTGAGTCAGGGCAGTGGATACTCCTCATCTCCTCCCTCATCCTGTCATAATTACTCTTGTAATATTTGAACCTTGGCCTGGTTTTCTCATGAACCAAGTAACAGTTAATTCTGAAGGATTTTTATGTGGTGACTGGTACCAACTGGGACTAGGTGTTCCAGCTTTGGCCACCATACCCTCCTCGTTAGTTATGATGAGGTCCAGAGGCTTGAGTGTTTGCTCTTTAACATGTTGGAACAAAAAATTGTCCCAGAGTTTCTACAAAAAATAGTAGCGGGGTTATTTAAATCATTTGCCGTGGTTTCATTTCTCCAGTTGATGTCGCCATAGTTAAAATCCCCATGACAAGGAGGCGGCCAGGGTTGAGAACCTTTGCATTTTCTATTAGGGCTCTTAAGTTCCTATGGTTTAATAAGCCACAGTTTAGGGACAAATCTAAGACACTTTTCTTCTATGATGTTTCCCCCGCAAATGATAGCTCTTGACCCGGGGCCCCACCCACTCCCCCCGGCATATGTAAGTCATTTGCGAGGGAAACTTCAAAGAAGAAAAGTGGGTGGTTAAATTTCTAAGATTCCCTGGATGACCAAAACAAAAATAATATCATTTTAGTTTTTATCATCTGAGAAATCATAGATATTTAAACTATTGGAATCAGTAGTTTAAACTATTCTAAGGCACTTTTCTTCTATAGCATTCCGGTAATTTTTTATGAATACACCGTTGTAAATTTTTCGTAGAAAATAAATGTAAAATGCCACAATTTTATTCTGTTTTATAGTGGACACTGTCGTATTAATGACAAATGTGTTAAAAAGTGTTTATTTAAAAGTTGAACCTAAACTAATCGAACCTAACAAATGCCTGCAAAATTGTTATCATATCAGAACTCACTGATGAAAATATAATAAGAATATAAACATCAAAACAGATACCTAGACCTTTTATTTTTCAACTGAGTTCTGCTGTAATTATAGTGTACACTCATATTTATCTCAGTTTAAGCTTCATATAGCATGCAAAAAAAATAATTTGTTTATCAATATTCTTGTTAAACACTTAATTTTTCATGTTATTGCTCTTATATCTTAACTTCATTAGTACAGAGACAGTCACACTCAGAATAAAAAATTCTTCTCTTACATTATCTTATTTAAATGTGAATTACAGTACAATGAAATAATGTTTCTGCATTTCCATGATGTTCCTATGGTTACTTTAATGGTCACTGACTCACTGTACAGTACTGTGCAAGTGAATTTCACACCTTCACTGTTCTTGTATTTCAAACTGCTCACACCTCCAGTGCATGTTATAAATGTTGTTCAACTGTCCTCCCACCTTGGAGTACTTTCTCCTTGCTTACTTTATTTCTTCTGTATAAAACATTTAATTCTTCAGGTGTAGAGTATAAAAGCTCATGGTAACATCACTGAATTAATTCCTCTTCTCTTCTATGTGGTACAAGGCACTGGTAAATTTAAGGACAGAGTGGGTACCTCCCTTCTCTCAATTTCTTGTCATATTTAATTTTTTCAGAATGGGTTTTGTTTTATTGGTTAATTTTACATCTCCAGACTCCTTTAGACCTTCTAGTTTATGGGGACCTGAGCAGCCCTCAGATCTCTGGCCAAACCTAATACATTGGGTCTTTAGTCCTTGACACTGTAAAACAATGGTATTTCCCCAACTTGAAATCCTGTATCCAAGCCTGCAAGGAAAATTCCCTGAGACTACATCTTACTGCATTGCTTGTCATGTACACTCGGAAACCATATTCTCTAGCCCACCTGGGTCGGTGCTGGAGGTTAGTACAGTATCCTTTCTGGACGGGAGCCCACTCTAACTATCATGAGGCAACACACGCACGAACACACACAGTCATAGTACAGCTGTATAGATGATATTATGTATAAATATTGTATATGGCATTTTATACTCTGCATTATCTTCATTATATATAAACACAAAGAAAAATTACCATAGGTTGTAGCTACGAAAGTATGAAAGGAAATAAACACTTCCAAACCACCCAGTGAATCCACACAACGTTTACAGCGCTTCCACCACACCCCATCTATATCTTTTATTTCCCATCATTCGCGTAACTACAGTATATGAAAAATTGTGTTTAATTTAACTACATATTTCAAAAACCTTAAATTACATGTGGATCAGCTACTCCTCATTTGACACACATATAGTGTAATACTTTGACCATCCCACTTGGGCACATGGAGGCCCACGGTAACTCACGTGATAGTTAGAGTGGGCCCCCGTCCAGAAAGGACACTGTACTAACCTCCAGCACCGACCCAGGTGGGCTAGAGAATATAGTTTCCGAGTGTACCTCTCGCCTTAATAATATCTAAAAGATATACTGTACAGTACTGTATGTTTACTTATGTATGAAAAAGGATGAATTGTTTGAGCTATAAGTTTCATGGTACAGTAACAGTGTTCCTTTGTGTACGAATTTGATTATAAGCATACTGTACGCAGAACATAATAAAAAATTCTAGTGTTTAAGACCATATTAAATTCTGGATTCAGCTAAATGTTAAGCTCTACATTTTATTCATACAGGAAGTAGTGAAATTGTCTTCTGTATTTTAACTTTTAACATTAATGTTCCTCCATCACAGGTTGTTCCGAGAAGAGCCACAGTTAAAGACCAGGTTCAAGGGGTTTATGAACAAGACAGAGGATCAGCTACGTGAAAACAAGCGTCTTGCAGCCCATGGCACCACGGTCAGTTGTCCCCACCTACAGACTCGCTCAAACCCAACCTAGTCCTCTCTCACATTTATTTATTCTGGGTGTGACTCATGCATTCACCCTCACACTTTCTGAAGTATCATCTAACACTTATATCAATTTCAGGGGTGTTTGTTCCACTCAATTCAGGCCTAAGAAATAATTTTCTTTATTTACCTAATGGCCACCCACTAGAGGTCGCTAAGCCAAAGGAAGGAGGCCTGTGTAGGATCCCTCCATTATTCTTGATAATTTTTTCAAGGGCTATTTTGAAGCCCAGTACTGTTCTTAAATCCACAGTTTGAGCTGGTAGACTGTTCCATAGGGCTACCAGCCTCTGTGTGAAGAAATATTTCCTTTATTTTCGTTCTTCATGATAACTTAGTGAACTTGTGGTTATGTCCCCTTTGTGTTGGTGGTGCATGACATCACAAAGAAACAGCTCTGGTTTATGTTTTCCATCGCTTTCAGGATTTTGAATGTTTCAATGTGATCCGCCCTATTGTGTCTTATCTGAAGAGTTGTTAGTTCCCCTCAGTCTACCTGGATAATTTAAATGATATACTGTAGATCCTGAATCATCCTAATCACTCAACAGAGTGTTGCACTTTTTCTAGAAAGGTTAGGTCCTTCTGAAGGTAGGGTTTCTTTGTCTGTATTGCTACAGTAATCCAGACTGGGACGTACATGAAATTTTTACAGTTAGAGGAGTATTTTCCTGTTTTTCTATTCAAAGGTATCCTCTATATTTCTCAAATCTCGATTTGCTTTTCTCACTTGTGCCACCTTCAGTGAATGATCTATCATAATGTCTAGATCTTTCTCCTTATCGACAGTATCCAGGAAAGTGTTGTTGACAGAATACAGCTCCTCCCCGACTTACGACCTACTCAACTTACGACCACCTGCACTTACGACCTGCCTCAGTCGTACCAAAATTTTGTCAAATTACGTATTTTCGAGCCCCAACATCAGTACACAGACAAAATTTTAATTTGTAATTCCCTTTAAAATGGCTGGCAAGCTTAAAAGTGAGAGTTTTGTGTTGCTGAGAAGAAAAAGAGACACCCATTTTAAATTTTCTATGTATTATTTAAGCATTTTCGACTTAAGACCATTTCGACTTATGACCTGGATTTGGGTCCCTAACCCCGTCGTAAGTCGGGGAGGAGTTGTAGATGTGATTAATGTTGTTATATCCTATGTGTAGGGTCTTGCATTTTGTAATGTTAAAGAGTACGTATTTGCCAGTGTCGAGACCATTTGAACAGCTCATTCAGATCTTTCTGCATTGTTGCCACATTGTCGAGACTTGTTACTTATCAAATATCTTCGTGTTTCCCCAAAACTTGACAGTGTACAGTAGTATGAACAATGAACACCTATTTACCTTTACATCACACTATCTACTACTGTACAGTATTTTCATACTCATTCCACATATTTCTTTTGCTACATTATCCCTAAAAAAATTAAACATCAGTAATACAGTCTCTCCTCGACTTACGACATATTCGACTTATGACAACCCGGACATACGACGGCCATGGTATTTTCGAGTCCCGACATTAGTGAGTGTGCTGTGTACTGACAAAATTTTTGTTTGTAATTCCCTTTAAAATGGCTGGCAAGCGTAAAAGTGAGAATCCTCGTGGTGCTGAGAAGAAAAAGGGACACCCATTTTAGAATTTCTATGTATTGTTTTTGCCTTTTCGACTTTCGACTTGGTCGTCGGGACGGAACCCCGTCGTAAGTCGAGGAGAGACTGTATTATTAATTCTGAATAACTTGAGTCAGTATATTGTATTTTTTATTCGACACTTCAAAAGAAAGTTTGATGACAGTGAATCTATGCTTCCTGTATCTCAGGTTCATGCATGTGTACATCAATACTATACTAACAGTACTCGGTACTAGAGTGTGCTATACTGATCTGAGGGCATACCATAAATAGGGGTCTGACCTGTAGATGAGAGGGGTCTATTGTCATTGTTAATTCTGGGAGAGCCAGAGTGTGACATTGGTTCTACCCTGTTTAATGGCTAATGATGTGATGGTATTGGTGAAGACTTTGGAGATGCATTTACTCAAGGTGTTTTAATTAGAGAAGAACTGAGTGAAGATCTACGTTGAGTTGTGCCGATGAGGAATTACCTGTGTTGGAAATGGAAAGCCAATCTGTGAATGAAGGGTGATAATTTCCTGAATTTTCCATATGAGAAAAAGGCAAGTATAGACTAGTAGGTATGGAGGACAACTGGGGGTGATATGGACCTTTACTATTGACTGAGAACAGAAGAGTTTACAAATGGGTAATAACTGCAGTAGTTCTGGATGGCAGACCCAGCCTTCAGAGGACCAGTCTCTGATGAAGTTATGGAGTCTGCCAAGGGCTTGAGATGCACATCTGATCCGATGTTGAATCACTTCATCGATGTCCGTGGTGGTGGACAGGTAGGAGCCGAGATACTAAAAGTGGGTAATATTAGAGAGGGTAGTACCATTAAGCGTGAGGACACACAGGACGGGCATCGATACATTCGCATGACCCCTGAAATGTGCAACACACTCTTCTGTACTGACTGTGTAATGTGTTTATTTTCTTCTTGACACTATCAAGTGTGCACATAGGGTTTACATTTTTTCACATAATTATACATTTCCCCATAAGCTTTACATTTTTAATTTCTCTTACTGTATCCATTACTTCTAACCTGCCATAGACATGGCTGGTCCCTATACAGTTCAATCAGTTGTAATGTTAACGTCTTTGTCCACTCAAATGGTGACCTTGACTCCAAAGGGTCACTGTTGGGAGGTGTAGGCAACGGCTCAACGTCCATCATTGCTTTTAACTTGCGCATCTGTGTGGTGTGGCAGGGACCCACGTAGGTGGCCCCGCAACTATTAGGCTTACACATAACTGCCCGGGAATGGTTGGTGGTTCAGTGTTGCCGTCTACACGAACACTGCCCGAGCACGGCTTCACTACCATGCTTCGAAAACATGCTCCGAGACTGATCGTGTAAACTAGCCCTTAGACCTGTCACCACATCACCCCTACATGACCTAACATTCTTTGTTTTCCAGGTGTTAACAGCGATAACCAGCATGGTTGACAACTTGGATGATGTAGGGGTGTTAGTGGAGCTCCTCCAGACAACTGGTGTCAACCACAAAAATAGAGGAATACCAAAACAAGACTATGATGTGAGTACAGTATGAGGGATATTTACTCCCTGTGTATAACATAAGCTGTTGATCTACTTACTCTATTCAGTCGGGGTGGCACTGGAGTTAATTAAAGGTGGGTCACTTGACTCTATATACTCTGGTAACCATCCACATGTTACTGGGAACCCCTTTTTAGGTTAATGTATTGGTTAGGAAGGGAAATGGAAAGAGATATTTTCCAAGTTAAATTTATTCAGCAAAGACATGATATGAAGTCATATGTGTTTGTCCTATTTCTAACTACAGATACCGTAGGGGAAAAAGGAGCTCACAATACACCCGTACGACTGCAGAAAAAACATTAAATACATGTTATGACGCCTCAGTCCAATACACTGCAGGGCCATCCAGAAACCTCCACACATTATCACACCCAATGCTAAAAACTGCTTGTGTTTCCAACACTGCTCACCAGCTGCTAAGAACACATTCTGATTGTCCAATCAGAGCCCATTTTTCCAAAGATTCTTCTGTTCCCTTTTCTGATTGGTTAGTTCACGGTCTGGGCGGAGCTATCCTCATGACACCTGACACAGGCCTACATCTGTTTTTCCTTGAGGCGGTGACTAATTGAGTCCATTCTTAAATTTCACAGCATATTTTGAATGTCCACTTCAATGAAGGCCATGTACAGTACTGTAGTACTGTACAAGTCACGACGCTGTTCTCTAAACTTTTTCAGAATCTTGTGGGCAACATATATTATGTCAGTGGTGCCACGTGATGGTCTAAAGCCACATTGAGTTTCTGGGAGGAAGGTTTCCGCTTCAGGAAGAAGTCTGTTTAGGAGGACTCGAGCGATGCTCTTGCCAGCTATAGACAGCAGTGAGATCTAGCAGTAGTTGCCACAGTCTGACTGGTCTCCCTTGTTCTTATAAATATTGACAATTGGGGCATCTTTAAGATCTTGGGGGATTTCCTCCTTCTCCCATATATTCTCCAGGAGAGAGTGGAGACAGCTGGGAAGCAAAGCTCCTCCTGCTTTATACACCTCAGTTGGGATTCCATCAGGCCCTATGGCTTCGTTATTTTTCATCTGCTTGATGGCAGTAGCTACCTCATCCAGGGATGGAGGATAGCCGAGATGGGTCAGCTCTGTATGCTGAGGGACCTGCTGGGTAGTCAAGACATCCACATCGGTGTTTCGGTTGAGTAGCGAATGGTAGTGCTCTTTCCAGCACTGACACATACCTTCATCTATAATTAGGGAGTTACCGTCAGATGAGTGGAGGGGGGCACATCTTTAGTAGTTGGGCCATATATTGTTTTAGCGGAATTGAAAAATTCACGCATCTTGTATTGATCTGCAAATTTTTGCATTTCACATGCTTTATCTTTGTTCACCAGTCATTCATTAGTTTGTGAAGTTCACACTGGACCACCACTTTCTTCTCATGGAAAGTATCGGCTTTGGTCCGAGACTTAGGGTTGTTCTGTCAGTCAAAGAGTGCAGCACATTTACTATTGATGAGTATACATACTTCGATTTTCAGGTAGTTTTCATGAAACCAATCCTGGTGTCTTCTTTTGATCTGGCCGAGGGTCTCGTTGCAGGTTTTTGTGATGACAGCTTCGATGGGACCACATTCAGCACTGGAATTTTGGTTGTTTGTTGTCGGGTTGTTTATCAGCCTCTCATTGAGCTGCTCTCTGAAAGCATGTGCTACCGCTGGATCCTCCAGTGACGTGGTGTTCAAGCCTCAGAAGAGGCTTGTTGCCCTTGGCGATCTCTTTCTCTGACAATTATGTAGTCAATGAGATGCCATGTTTGGATCGTGGGTGTTGCTAAGAACCCAACTTGTCGGCCTGCCTAAACAAGGTGTTGGTGATAGTGAGGTTGTGTTCAGCACACTTGCAGAGGAGGAGTAGGCAGGGCTGGCGCTACCCACTAGGCGAACTAGGCGATCGCCTAGGGCGCCAACATCTGGGGGCGCCACAAATTCAGGGCAAACTTGGATAAAATTAAAAATGAAGGGAAAACTGTGGTGGACACTGTGGTGGAGCCGTGGAGGGTCGGAGCAGGATGTTAGAAGGGTGGGGGGTCGGAGGGAGGCGAGGGTAGGTAGACGGTAGCCGACTGTGTTTTCTTTTTTAATATTATTCGTAAACCCCCCGGAGGGACTAACCCGGGTCCTTATCTTTGGTGGCCTGGAGAACTGTCGAGCAGTGACCTGAAGGCTGACATCTGAGGAACCCTTCTCCCAACCCCACCATCCCCTCCCCTCCCTTACTACCAGGGCGGCTGAGCCGCCCCTTCCCTGTCTTTGTCGGGATGAGGCAAGGTTACCTGACCTCTGAAGTTTACGTCAAGGATTTATTGACTTAATGTAATAACAATAATTGGTTATTTGCATGGGTGAAGTAATAAAGCCACAAGATGAAAACAATGTAGTAATGGGTTACTGTACCTACATTAGCTTATCAAAACCTTCAAGGGGGCGCACATCTAAAGGCTTGCCTAGGGCGCCAAATCATCTTGCACCGGCCCTGGGAGTAGGCCATTGGAATTATACTTGCCTACTCCGTTTCTCCCTTTGGTTCCCTGCCATATGTCAGCATCTCTGCCAATTCTGGCATTGAAGTCACCAAGGAGCACAACCTTATCTTCTTTGGGAATAGAGGTTAGCACTCTGTCAAGGCCAGCATAAAAGGCCTTCTTGATGTCATCCTCTGCATCCAGTGTTGGGGTGTACGCACTGATTTAGAAGGCATGATGTGAGTGATTCAGTGGGACTCGGAGTGTCATGAGGCGCTCGTTGATCCCAACAGGTATTTCAGTTAGCCTGTGTAGGTTGGATTGGCAAATGGTAAAGCCAACTCCGTAAATGCGGTTTCTCTCCACAGCAGGCTTACCCTTCCAGAAGAAGGTATAGCCAGACCCCTGTTCTATGTGTCGACTCTCGTATGGGACAGGCTATGTTTAGGGTGTGGGTGTAAGATAGTGGTGATGGTGGTGGTCACATGAGTGGTGGTGGGTAGTGGTGGCTGGTGGTCACAGGAGTGTGGTGGTGAGTGTTGTAGTTGGTGGTAGTGAAGTGACTCACATGCAGGCATGCTGTGAGTTTGTTATTGTTATTTGTCTACTCATGTTTTCAGGTAAAAAAATATATATATATATATATATATATATATATATATATATATATATATATATATATATATATATATATATATATATATATATATATATATATATATATATATATATATATATATATATATATATATTTATATATATATCTTTTACTCTGTAACATGCACACAATCTTCAGGCATAATGTTAAAAAAAATGAAAGAAAGAAATGATTATCATAAGGTCAAAAACAAATGTAAAGAAATACTACGACCGCTGGAGTATTGTGCTCTCTCTGACCACTTGTCGTCGCCTGTTCCTCGTGGATATCAAAGACTTAGCGTAGTTGGTACCAGAAGGTGATGATGAACATTGTTTAGAATAGATTTCACCAAATATTTAACTTAATTGAAGTTTTAACATTGTTAGAACTTATCTTTGTGTTCAGGTAACTTCAAATTTTAGTTTACAGTAAATGTCTAAAAAAAATTCTTCTCTTTCCTTCAGCTGTTGGCTCCTGTGTTGCTAAACTATCTGCGAGACAACCTTGGATCTGCATGGACGTCTGTGGCTGATGAGGCCTGGGCAAAGGCCCTGAAAGTCATAATGTCAGTCATTGTCTCTGGTTATGACATCACTGAACCAAATCAGTCTTGAGCATAACTTTTTTACCGGCTGTAATGGCTCGGAGTCAAGTATCCAAGAAATGTGTTAGCCAGTTATATTTGTACGTTTTGGAAGAATACTTGTATCAATGATGTATTTAGTATAGTATATATTTTAAAACTTAACCTCTCAGTCTCCCATATTAACACTGATTTCATGTTTTTTTGTTTTTTAAAGTAAATGGTACAAAGACTATAATATTTAATTACAACATTTACTGCCTTTCCTAACCTGCATCTGGAAATTATTTAATAAAGGCACCACCATCAGCCTTTGACTGTAAGTATGATGGTGCATAATAATTACATAACCAACTTTTTACATCATCACCATAACATACATATTATCTCAACAGTTCACAGTTTTACTCTATGCTTCTTTCTGTACTTATAGCTTTGTCTTTATCATCTTCCTTTCTTCTTATCACAGATATCTATTAAACGAAGTGTACTCATATTTATCATTTTTTATATCTTCGTATTATCCTAAAATACAGTAGCATTCTTTGCTGGCTTCTGTACCTCCTCTTCTCTTGTTGTTCAATCTGCGGTGTCACTCTCAGCATCTTTATTTCACTCCAATGTCATTCTTTCCTTTATCAGATGTTTTTATTTTCCAACTGTCAGCCCAGACCACTGTACTGAGCATTAACCCCTGGGCTTTAGGCTATGGTCAGCACCCCCCCCCCCCCATTTGGGTATATTCAGGAACATTAGAAAAATAAATAAAAAATAAAAAGTCATTCTAGTCTTACAAACTGGCCATGCATGATATAAACAGGAAATAAATACATATCCTTACCACAGGTTGACAACACCGGGGCTAGGGAGAGTTAAGAATGTTCGTGGTGTGTGTGTGTGTGTGACACAATAGTGTGAGATAACCAACACTAATTTGTAAGCAGTATGAGGTGCAGGACATTTGTTTTACTATGTTATTACTATTTACACTATTATCAATAACTGATCACAATACTAGACATGTGGTTGGGGGGTAGAAACACATGGTGAAGTGAGTCAAGACCAAGGACGAGATGACTACATCACAAAAGGTGAGAAGAGACTGGGAGGCTCTTATGTGTGAGTGAGTGAAAGATATATACCTACTTGGCAACATAATCTAGCCAGACCAGCCCTTTATATTCAAATAGCCCTGTGAAAGATCAAAACATCATATGTCGTGACCCGAAGCTCTACAGCATGCTCTCAGTTAGGATTTTCTGCTTATAAGATTATCTAATTATATCCATGTGCTGAAAACCCTGATTTAATCACTTATATGCCTTTCTGAAGTGCAACTTTTAAATTATTTTCTGGTCACACTTCATGTTACATCCATTTTTTGTATAAGTATTACTGTCATTTTCTATAGCTTACTGGTTGTATCTCAAGTGACCTGCAGGATTTCTGTAGTGGTTAGCAAAAGTGGAACATCAACCTTGATCCAGCTGTTAATCAAAAGGCCACTGGGATCTTGCACAACACAGTACTGTACCCTGTTTCTGAGTAAAAATTATTGAATCAGTAATAGTTGATGGTAATGCAGCCATTGTGTGACTAGCTTTAGTTTCCTCAAATGTACTTACAGCATAGTGGTACTGTAAGTCCTCGTTTAACGTCGTGGTTACGTTCTTGAAAAACACAACCTTAACGGAATCAATTTTCCCCATAAGAAATAGATAAAATACTCAACTTACATTCCCCAGCCTCCTTTTGCCCCATAAAATACATTACATATACTGTACATAAATTCAATGGAATTTTATAGAAAATATATATTATACATCCAAAAAGATAAATAAACTAAATCATTTTGTATTGTACTCACTGATGGGCAGAGGTGGAGCGAGTGTGTGGTGGGTAATGGAGAGGAGGAGGGTGGCGAGTCACCGAAACCCGGAGGGGGGCTCCCCTTTCTGCTCTGACTTGGGTTCCCCCCACAACACTAGCACCACTAACACTTGATGGGCGCTTGGAAGCCATTTCGAATGGTTACAGTACAGTATTTATCGCAAAAACACTTAAGGACGCGCGTACACTGTGGAAGTCTAACAAAGACTGGGGACGCTGTGACGCTCCGCGAGAGAGCGTAGCGCGCCAAGATGAGAGAGGGTGATGCGCCATACAAAGTAGTCTGTGTTGGGAGACAATGTTATAACGAATCAGTCTGGATGTTGTTGGAATCATGGGTATCTAAAGAGTAGCGATGTTATAAGTAAACAACGTTGTTGGGAGCAACGTTAAACAAGGACTTGCTGTACTGTACTATGTATCAGTTCAGTCTTTCAATTTTATTGAAAGTAATGAAGCAAGAAATTCCCCCCCTCTCCCTCCCCTCCCCTCCCCAGATTTTTTATGCAATTGCACTGAAATTTGGCCTCCACACCCCTCTAAATTTCTTCAGCTGTTTCTTTTACTTACTATGTGTAAGTAAAAGAAAGAGTCAATTGAGATCTTTAGCAATTTAACCGTTGCTTCCAACATAATATCTGGACTTTGCAGTGCCTTAGAAATTGCATTTATTGTTTGTAATAAATTTTTTTGAAGAACAACTAAAAAAAATAAACTCCTACTTTTTTATTTGCTTCAGTACACCATACACAGCAACTTACATACCATTACATTTATGAACAAGAATTATTTTTAAAGTCCCTTTACAGTGTGTGAATAGCAGAATGTTAATGCAACTAGTGAATTATGCCTAGAGGACCATCGAGCTGGACATAACCGTTCAAGCGTTACTTTCCCCATAGCTTGCGAGACAGGAGCAAATTCTTTCAACATAGTGGCCCCACCATCTTATCCTGCAGTCAAAGAAATTATAAAAGTGTTGAACCGTGTCATAAAATTTCCTCATTTCAATAAATACAGTACAGTACTCTGAACACAATCACTGAGAGCCAGGTTTAGGTTATAGGCAGAATAGTGAATATATTCAGCACTTGGTTGTTTTTTAGCTATTCCATAATTTTTCATTGGAACTTCACGAACTCCAAGAAATGATTCCTTGATTTTAAAGTCATAAGGAAATCGTCAGAGTTAGTAGTAATATCTCCTTTAGCCGGAATCCCTCAAACCCGGAACTCTCTGATGGTCGGATTTGAGATTTTCCTAGGGGCACATTTTCTGGAAAATTCCAATAAATTTTTTCTGGTACCTGGAGAATTCCGAAAAATTTTTGAGGATGGGGGATATTTTGGGGGCTTAAGAGATGATGTAATGCCCAATTTCTGGAACTTCCAAGAATATTTTTCCGTTGCTCCAAAAATTCTTGGGATGAGGGATGTTTGCTGGCTTTGGGAGGTGAAATAATGCATCATTCTGGAAGTTCCGAGAAAATTTTCCCATTACCCAGAAAATTCTGGGTATGAGGGATTTTTTTTTTCCGGCTTTAAGAGAGTCGTCTCGTTACCTGGAAATCTCTCATTCCTGGAAGTGCTCAGCACCAATTGTTCCGGCTAACGGAGATATCACTATTCATTTTACCATATCGAAAGATTTGACTCATTTGATCTACTTTTCAAATGTTTTGTTTAGTTTCTTTAATTTTTGAAAAAAGATGCTGCTTTTATATCATCAATGATTTTTCTTTTAATTTTATTATAAATTATATTAACCCTTACGCCCCAGGTGACATTCTAGAACGCCCGACCGGCGCGCCCCGGGTGACGTTTCAGAACGCCCGCCTTTTCCTGCCATTTTTAAATGCCCAGTGCGGGTTATCAGGTTCAGTGTGACTATTTGCCTGTCACGCCACACCTCGGCCACAGGGAAGCTTCCTGAACATAATTACCTACTTTTGTTTGTTTAATTTTCTTTGTTTGTCCATTTTATCATGTTGTATCAAAGTAATATTGATAAAAGTAGTGTAGTATTACTGAAAAATAATGCTATGATTATATTATAAATGTATTTATTTGTGGAATTATCATTCTGATAATTACTTGCATGACCTACGTGGTCTCCCAAACATAAAGCCTGACGACAGACTGTGTGTGTGTCGCAGAGAACTTCTTATGAAGAGTAATGCTTATAAAATAAAGTCTAAATGAATTATTTATAGGAAATAAGTATTATGATCAGTAAATAAATGTATTATTATTGGTCAACTCGGACACAAAAGCAAGCGGTAAAATGACCCCTAAGTGCGTAGTGACATCGAGCTCTCGATGTAAAAAAAAAAAAAAAAACTTTCCCCTTATTTGTCTCGTCACTGAGGAGCCACGGAAGAGTATAGAGGGACAATGTATAGTTTTAAAGTCTTTTTTTATTGTTTTATCATTAATAAAGGTTAAAAATTATTTTTGGGAAAGTTCATTTGTCTCGTTTTACCCCGGGTTGGGGGTATGGCCTGGGGAGTAAAGGTTAAATGCCATTTTTACATTGTCAGTCAAGCTTCAAGGTGTGTCTATGCATTCATGTGTCTGAATTTTTGGGGTTACCATAGATAACTCCAGTCTCTTATTCCATCATTAAAAGATGACTTACAATAAGCAAAAAGTCAGTACAGGTATGGTTTGCAATAAGCAGTGTTGGTCAATGAGAAATAAGATAAACACATTCTCGGCAGTGCTGTACCTGATTTCAATTCCTTAAGAGTAAAAAGCTTCTGAGAAACATCTACCATCCTGATTTATACCCCTGGGAATGGCTCTCTGGGTCTACATGATCCCTTTGATGTGATTACCATATTCTCTCTAACTTACTGTTTGTGATATTTGTTGGAAAGTGTCCTCAGTCAGATGACATTATTGCCTTCACATATGGTGTTTAGCCTTTTCTTCACTAGTTTCTTTACATATGAATCTCTTGCTTTTTCAATAATGTTTAAATAAATTACAACCCTTGATGTTTTATTATACCTGTAGCTGTGTTTCAAAACTTTTACTTGAACACTCTGCTTCATCATTACTACTTGAACAACATGCTTCATCATATCTACACCATCATTACTACTTGAACAACATGCTTCATCATATCTACACCATCATTACTACTTGAACACCCTGCTTCATCATATCTACACCATCATTACTACTTGAACACCCTGCTTCATCATATCTACACCATCATTACTACTTGAACAATGTGCTTCATCATATCTACACCATCATTACTACTTGAACAACATGCTTCATCATATCTACACCATCATTACTACTTGAACAACTTGCTTCATCACTTTTATCAAAAA